GTGTTCCAGGCTCGTGACTTCAGATTAGGCCAGCCTTGACTATTACAGGTATTTGGGGAATGAACCAGTGAGTGGGAGATCCCTCTTGGTGTCTCTGCCTTTCAAATAAACTAACTAAATAAAATTGGGGGGAAAAGAATGAACCCTGGTATAAACTATGGACTTTTTTAAAAAATGATAGACCAATATTTGTCCTCCGATTTTGACAAATACACTTCACTAATGTAAGATGTTAATAACAGGGGGGAACTTAGCAGGGAAGATAAGGTATATGGAAACTTACGTACTATCTGTTCAATCTGTAAATGTAACCAGCTCTATAAAAACCCTATTAATTTTTTAACAAAAGTAAAAGAAATTTAAACCAGTCAATGAGATTAGTTGTCAAATTAGTCAATGAAAAAGTGAATGAAATATTTAATGAGAAGAACTGGGATTCACAAATAATCTAATTAAATCATTTAATAACTCATCTTTGATCATAACTGTGTGTTATGAGGCTGTATCAGAAGTAGTTCTGGTTCACCAGGCAGTTGAGAGTGACAGTCGAAATAAAGTTTGCATTGATGAAAACCATGGATAGTTACAGATAAGGAAGATAATGCTACTTAACATGCCAGAAATATTTTTAAACTAGTGACTCCTCCAATGTTGTTTTATTGTAACAACATTTATTCCCTCTGAATTTTGAAGTCTCATCAAGGTTTTGTCCAACTGGTAAAAGCAGGCAAGAATGTCCAAAGAGAACTAAAGGTAGAAATACTTGTTTAGGTCAGTCTGAGCTGTACTAGCCAGGTTGTCCTGTATTTTGCTATTCATGCCTCTCACCCTTTCATTCCCTCTGTCTGTGCACCCACCTCTGCTTTACATTGGTTTGCACACACTACTCAGAATCTTCCAATCTGACCTTTCCCAGGCCAGCAGGCAGAGACCTGCGAGCCTAAGGCATCCCCAAACCCAGGGAGTGTGTCTACCAAATACCAATTCTTTTATTCTTTTTTTTTTTTTAAAAAAGATTTATCCATTCATTTGAAAGGCAGAGCTACAAAGAGGCAGAGGCGGGGTGGGGGTGGGGGGTCTTCTATCTGCTGCTTCACTCCTCAGATGGCTGCAACGGCTGGAGCTGTGCCAATCTGAAGCCAGAAGCCAGGAGCTTCTTCCAGGTCTCCCACGCAGGTGCAGGAGCCCAAGAACTTGGGCCATTTTTTTTTTTTTTTTTGACAGGCAGAGTGGACAGTGAGAGAGAGAGACAGAGAGAAAGGTCTTCCTTTGCCGTTGGTTCACCCTCCAATAGCCACTGAGGCCGGTGCGCCATGCTGATCCGATGGCAGGAGCCAGGTACTTATCCTGGTTTCCCATGGGGTGAAGGGCCCAAGGACTTGGGCCATCCTCCACTGCACTCCCTGGCCACAGCAGAGAGCTGGCCTGGAAGAGGGGCAACCGGAACAGAATCCGGCGCCCCGACCGGGACTAGGACCCGGGGTGCTGGCGCTGCAGGTGGAGGATTAGCCAAGTGAGCCACGGCGCTGGCCTAACTTGGGCCATTTTCTACTGCTTTCCCAGGCCACAGCAGAGAGCTGGATCAGAAGTGGAGCAGCCAGGACTCGAACTGGCGTCCATATGGAATGCCAGCACTGCAGGCGGTGGCTCTTTACTCACTATGCCACAGCACTAGCCCCTGTCTACCAATTCTTATTTCAAATTTTATAGTTATTATTCATATATGTGTGGTAAAATACAGTAAGACAGGCTTTACAAATTATGGCTGTATTCTTTAGATGGGTTATAGGAAAGGGATGAGATTTTTTTTTCCCCCAACTTTCCCTTTCAAAAGAAGAGCCTCGGAATACACAGACCATGTTAACGGCTAGAACACAAGTCTTACAATATCTAAGTCAGTGCTCTTTTCATAAAAGTATGCAATCTGTAGTGTGATGCAAATGCCTACCAATATCCTATCTTGACAGGTAAGGACTGTACGCGTCCCGTCACAGGTGACTCCACGACCAAGCCCTTGCAGCCTGACTTTCTAGCTCACAGGAGGAGGAGGAGGAGGAGGAGGAGGAGGAGGAAGAAGAAGAAAGATAGTAAATCCCCTCCACAAATAAATGAAAAGAAGTGAGGGTGGGAGAAGGAAAACAAACATTACACTGCATCTTTCCAGCTTACCTTTGAATACGATGTGTGATATTCTTGTAACACAATCCTGGACTTGTCTTTTTATGCTGTTTATTTAAAATCTTTCCATGGAGGCAGTGTAGCTACAAGTAGAAGATGGCAAAGACTTTGTTGTTAGAGCATGAGGGGGCAATGCCCAGAACCAGACCACCTGGTTCCCATTCCAGTTCAGCTTCTCCCTCGCTGTGTGACTCTGAGAAGGCTACCCAACCTCTCTGCTATTTCTGTTGCCCATCTGTAAAAAGGAGATAATAAATATTGAATACTTCGTCATAGATCCTTTGTGAGGATTAAGTAATTTCATCTACCCAAGTCACGTATCTGGCTCAAAGTATACTCAGAATTGGGGTCAGTAAACTCAGTGACTATCCAGGTCTCATGGTTACTGTTGCAACTACTCACTGCTGTGTGTATGACTAGGCTGGGTTCCAATAAAACTTTATAAAACACTGCATTCTAATTCCATATAATTTTCACATATTGTGAAATATTATTCTGACATTTTTCAATGATTAAACCATGTAAAAGCTCTCAGGCTGTATAAAAATAGGCCTTTGAGCCACAGTCAGCTGCCCTTTATCCTATATACTGAAATCAATAGATAGTATTACCATGTCTACAATCTCTCCATAAATCATCTTTAATGGCCCCTTAAAACAAGATGGAGTATACCATAATTTACTTAATCCTTCATGGTTAGAACTTGGATTACTTCCCGTGTTCATTAATTATGTCACTTTCCAGTGCAGTGAAATCTCTGTGCTCATACAGCAAGAAACTTCAAAAATTCCATGGAAATGAAATTAAAAGGTAGGTTTACTTTGGCACATACAGTTTTGAAATCTATGCATAATTCTTCATAGTATACTGTCGCTCCCCCTCTTCGTGGAGGAACGACACAGGACCCTGCGCTGTTCTTTTGTCTGCTCGGCCCTCCCCGGGTTTGCTGCTGGTTCTTCCCGGGTTGGCTACTATCCCTTCCACCTCCGTGGAAGGGCAGTTCCCCCTGGCCACTTTCCCCACTTCCGCGGGGGAGTGGCACACCGCCGGCCGGCTTTCTCGGGGGCTGCACAGGTGTTCCTTCAGCTAGATGTTCCCCTTAGATGTTCCTGGTGCATGCCGTCTCTCTCCTCCTTTATAGTCCTCCTCCGCCAATCCCAACTCGGCTGCCCACACGCCGAGTACGCTGCTCTCCTCCAATCAGTAGCAAGTCCTACAGTTTATTGGTTGAACTGGAGGCAGCTGTGCGGAAGCTGTTTACTTCTCTCCCAGCGCCATATTGTGGGAGAGCAGATGCATAGAATAAGTCTTAATTCCAGTAACTTAGTCTAGTCCGAGCTGCTCCCCACAGTATACATTTTCCATGGACTTTTCGAAGACCTTTTGTTTTACTAAACCTGCACCTTCAAGTGTATGTAACGACAGCCACCAAAACGGGCAGTGGAGTATCTAGAAAGAATTGGCCTTGAATGCTAATCTTGGGCAGTCCTTAGCAAGTGGCAGACCTGGTAGAGATCTGTAAATATAACACATATTCCCATGCACAGAAAGTTGTCCCAAACTCCACCCTTAGTCCTTCACATGTTATAGCATTTACTGCACAAAACAATCCTATGCGGTACGGGTGCAGTGGTTGTCATCATCATCGCCTTCCTCATGCCACAAAGCACAGAAAGGCTCAGCGACTTCCCCAACGTCATCCAGCGAGCTGGGATCTGTGTGCCACCGCAGCCCATGGTCTTGAACACCAGGCTGCCCCGCACCGTCACTAGAGAAACTTGACCCAGCAGGTACTCACTTTATGATGTACCTTTCTACCATCCGTGGAAGTCTTGTTTCTATTTCCGTCACCTTTGGCAAGCAGGAACAATCTCATTCCGTAATAATCAGGGCAAATTCGATCCCACAGTGGAACACCTGGGTGGAAACTGGGCACCTACGCTCTGGGCTGCAGGCTTTTAGGGTACCAGTGAGCCAGCGCGGGGGATGGGGTAGCACCTGAGGAGTGACCCAGCCAATGGGCTCTCTCTCAAATAAAACTAAAATAATAATAGACTCAACTCCTTTGTCCTACACCTTCCTTCCTCACGCCAACTCTTCATTATTTTCCCTTGCATTCCTCACACCCAAATAGCTGTCCAGTAAAACGGTGACCACTGGAGCATCCTCGCCTATCTTCTTTCCCATTTAGAGTCCCGGTCCACCAAATCTACGTGGCAAACTCAGGTGGCGCTTCGCCTGCTACAGAGGGGAGTGCAAGAGCAGCTGCACGTTATCAAGTCTCCGGTCCCGCGAGGCGGCGGCAGTAGCAGGACTGGTCCCCGGCGGGTCCCCGACGGCAGCGTCCTGCGTCCTGGGGGGACAAGGCTCCGGCTTCTGCCGCCAGGCTCCGGCTCGGAGCCGCGCGCTCTCCGTGCCCTTCCCCGCGGGGCAGAGTCGCGGACGAGCGCCCGAGAGGAGAGAAGCCAGCGAGCCGCCCAGGTGTGAGGGGCGACGGAGGGCTCCGGTTTTCACGGCCCCTGCCGGTGTCTCCCTGTGGGGATTCCGCTTCTCCAGTGACCGCCTTGGGGGCGCGCGACCGACGCCGCCGGCCCCTCGAGGCCGTCCGCCCTCCACTCATGCCCAAACAAGGGCAGACTCCCGAAGCGCTGAGGAACCCAGGCGAGAAACCAGCGGGCGTTTCGAACTGACCGCCTGGGCGTGCGGAGGAGCGGGGCGGGGCGCGGACTCCGCCCTCGGGTGTGTGTTGGGGGGGGGTCGCCTGGGCGGCGGGCGCGTGCGCGGTGCGGCCCCAGCCCGGCCGCCGCCGCCGCCGCCGCCGGCACGGCGATGCCTATTTTAGTCAAAGCCGCTGCGGACGCGGGGACCCAGCCTCGGCCGCAGAGCCTCCGGACCCGCCCGCCGCCCGAGGATCGCCCGTCGGGAGCCCGTCGAGCCGCCGCGCCCGTAGCCCGCCGCGGACACCCCCAAACTTTGACCGGCGCCGCTCGGGCTCCGTGCCGGGAACAAGCCAGGTAAGGAGCTCTGGGTGCAGCTGCTTCCCGCTCTGCCCGCCGCGCGCCGGGCTCCTCGCAGCCTAGTGCTCCCCGGGCTAAATCGGGAAGCGAAAGTTGGATCTGGCTCCACTGGAGCAACTTTGGCGGCTCGGGCTGCAGCTGCCTGGTCGCCGCGCTCTGCCCCTCCTCGCCGGCCGCGCCCTCCGGTGGCGCCCTGTCCTTGGAAGCTCTAAGGGGACGCAGACCCTCCCTCAGGTGGGTCGGACAGTGCCAGTGCCCTCGGTGCTCGTTCTCACCGAGCGCCGGCTCCCGCGCTGTGCGCTGGGCGAGCTTCTTGGTGAGGTCCGCACTCCCGTCCGCTGGGCTCCCACTCTGCCCCGCGGAGTGCCCGCCAGTCCCGCACCGAGGTGCGCGCGCCCCGGCTCTGCGCCCGGGTTCAAGGCGGGCGCGGCGCTGGACAGGTCGGGTCTCAGCGCTCGCCGCTCCCGGTGCGTGGTCAAGGAGAACGGTTGCGGCTGACCCCCCTGCTTTCAGGAGCAGGGTGAGCGGAGTCCCCGGGGGAGCGCCGGCGGCGGGGGATCCCAGGTCCTCGCCACCCGCAGGAGCCCTTGCTCCCGAGCCTTAGGAAACGGGTTGTTGGCCAGACAAGCCCCAGAAATGGCCTGCTTTTGTAGCGTTGAGTGCGAAGACTCTTAGGATCTTAATGCCGTTTGCCGTTCGGAAGATGTGCCAGATTCAGTTAGAATTACGAATTGAATTAAATCTGCGAGCACGACTTTTACTCATGGTTGTGTTAGTTTGGTTTTTGTGGTTTGGTGACTGTTTGGTGTGAGTTTCACCATTTAGCTATTTAGCCCAGCAGCACCTGTTTGAAAAATAACAAACAGGACTTTGTTAGACCAAGTAATTTAAGGAATTGGGCTTTGAGGAGCTGATGAAAACGTTTCTTTTGATTTTATAAAAATTAATGTGAAAGTTTACCAATTTACCAAAGTCTAACTTTCCTTAGACACATTCATTCTCTGTAGCAGGGTAGGTAAGCCGCATAAATCCCTTTGGTAATCAAAGTTAGTTAAACCGGTTAAATGATGAATATTTATTGACAATTAGACATATTCAGTAAGGTGTGGTGCCAAAATATGTTGTAAGATGATCCCACCTTTTAAAAATGGCTATTCCTGTTTTCTGGTTGTTGGGTTAGCAGATTGTGGTTTTCCTATCTTTTTTTCCTTGGATCAGCAGTCGCTAACTTTTAGTGCCACCGTAACCACTTCTGTAAACCTGAAATTGAACTACAGTGGATTAGCAGGCAGTAGGGTGTAATCAGTTGGATGGGAGATGAGATATGTGTTGGTCCTTTACTATGTAAATGTGTCATAGAGAGACAGGCTATGGAAACTTGGGCAGATTTAAAGACAGTCTAGTACAGGGGCCTCCATTCCAAGGGAAAAACAGACCCGAGGAGCAGAAGTGACTTTCCCTGGCTTATGTGGCTCCCTGGTGGCTTGTGATTAGAACTTGACTCAGCTCAGGAAGGCGAGGCCCTCTCCTTGTTTGCTCTCCGCGATCCAGCAGGCTGAAAGGTGATTTCTGCACGTTTTGTCGGGTTTCTATCCCTGTGCTGTGACTTCCCTTCCTGCCTCAGGGGTGTTCTCTACTGAGGGTGAGCTTTGGGAGTACACAGTTGGGTAAACCTCGGACCTGCCTGTAGTTAGAAGAGCACACGGAAGACAATGGGAACGCAAGCAGGTTCCAAAGTGCCCCTGGAGTGGCGATTATTATGGTGGCATGCTAGAGTAGCTGACATTAGTTTAGGAGAGACAGAGGGTGTTTGTTACCATTCTGTCTCCTACAGAAACTAGGAGAGGAATAATTTTGATTTGACCTCAAAAGCACACTTTGTATAAATGGAATTTTTAAAATAATGACCCCCTCATCCCCATAAGCTTGTTGATTCAGACATTTGGAAAGCAGTTGGATTTTTATGCTGCTTTCCTTTTTGCAGCAAATCAATAACTAAATCAACCGTTACTGTTATATATTATGTAGAGATATTTAATTGATTTGATCATTTCACAGTGTGTGAATTTGTGAGGTTTTTTGTGATCTGAAGAGGAATTGAATCCTTTAATATTCGTCTGATAACATCCTTTCAAAATGTTCACTCTGTACCAATTATTCTACAACCTAAAACTGTTAGTATGTTGAAAATAATGAACAGAAAAGTAAGGTCAGTTGCCTAATATTATTTTCAAAGAAATGCATTACTTCTAAATTAAATTCAAAAGTGGGTCAACATTTGGAATATTTTCCTGAAACAGAAAAACACATATTCTGTAAACCTGCAGAGCTTTTGTCAAGTACCAAATTTGTATAAATAATACTAGAAAAAGTCTTTTTAAGGACCAGAAGCAGAGGACGGGTAATATAGGCAGAAAATAGTGCCACTGTGTGTTGTTTTACATAAGCATGCATGTGTCAATGTGTATTCTTGAAATGTGTTTGCTATGGATTTTAATATTAAATAGCCAAATGTGTATTCATGGCCCCACCTACATATAAGTAAACTAGAAGTACATCGATGAGTAAACATTGTCCCAGCCTCACAGAGGGTGGAGGGTAGTTAGATGCTACCAACTAAAATGATAATGGGACAAAAGTAGGGATTTAAACTAAATAATAAAAGAAAGCTTAAATGTTATACCTAGGTATGGTACTGTATATGATTATATATTGTATGTATATATATGATAATGCAATGATTTAGTGATGCTACAAAATGATACAATGATTTAATGATGCTACAAAAATAGATTCTTTTAAATATCCCTTGCTAGGGCAGGCAATGTGATACAGGGGTTAAGCCAGTGCTTTGGACCCCTGTATTCTATATGGGAGTGCCTGGATTGAATCTTGCACCTGCTTCCAGTCTAGCTTTCTGCTAATAACAGCTCAAGTACTTGAGTTCCTTCCACTCACATGAAAGACCTGGATTGAGTTCAAGGCTCGTGAGGTCAACCTGGCCCAGTCCCAGCTGTTGTGGGCATTTGGGCCATGAATCAGTGGATAGAAGTTCATTCTCTCTCTGTCTCTCTCTCTCTCTCTCTTTCTCTCTCTGTGTCATTCTGCCATTCAAGTAAATAGGTAAGTAAATCTTTCAATAAATATCCTAAGCTTTCAAATAGTAAATATAAGGGTATTATTGCCTTTGAAAATATTCAAAAAAGTCTTTTTTCTGGTTGTCTTTCCTGTGCTTCCATTCAGTATTGCCAGTGGAACTAAGGTGGAATATACTAACTATAATTTGCTGTGGTTTATGAACATTGGTTGATAACTAGTTGTTCTGATTGTCTTTTAGACTAGCTAAGTACCTCCTTCTGCCTCCTCCACACAAGTAGGTAGAACCTCAATAAGTTTGTGGGAAGTATAATTAAAAGATGTTGAGGCTGGTGCTGTGGCACAGTGGGTTAACACCCTGGCCTGAAGCACAGGCAACCCATGTGGGCACCGGTTCGAGACTTGGCTGCTTCACTTCCGATCCAGCTCTCTGCTATGGCCTGGGAAAGCAGTAGAAGATGGCCCAAGTCCTTGAGCCCCTGCACCCGCGTGGGAGACCCAGAAGAAGCTCCTGGCTCCTGGCTTCAGATCAGCACAGCTCCAGCCATTGCAGCCATTTGGGGAGTGAACCATCAGATGGAAGACCTCTCTCTCTCTCTCTCTCTCTCTCTGTAACTCTGACTTTCAAATAAATAAATAAATCTTTAAAAAATAATTAACAGATGTTTATTTTGGTGTGAAAAAATGGAAATTTATTCATATATGTGGTCTTTTAAAATTCATGAAAATGCATATTATAAAAAATATTTATGATTTTCAATTTTTTGCACCCAAATGCATTTTTTTCTTTTCTTTCTTTCTTTCTTTCTTTTCTTTTCTTTTTTTTTTTTTTTTTTTGTTGTTGTTGTTGTTGTTTGATAGATAGACATTGAGAGAGAGGGACAGAAAGGTCTTCCTTCCGTTGGTTCACCGCCCCAAATGGCTGCTACGGCCGGAGCTACACCGATCCGAAGCCAGGAGCCAGGTGCTTCTTCCTGGTCTCCCACATGGGTGCAGGACCCAAGCAGTTGGGCCATCCTCCACTGCCCTTCCGGTCACAGCAGAGAGCTGGACTGGAAGAGGAGCAACCGGGACTAGAACCCTACGCCCATATGGGATTCTGGTGCTGCAGGCGGAGGATTAGCCACGTGAGCCATGGTGCCGACCCCCAAATGCATTTTAATTTCATGTCCATAAACTTTTTGAAGTACCTTCATATTCATACACCTGCATACACATGTAAATACACACATATGTATGTCAGGGAATAATTGTTATACTATGCTAAATGCTTTTAGTATTTAATTTCATTTCAGCATAAGGTAAATGAAAAAGTATTTAATAGATAAAGAAATAAATACATTTAATATGTGCAGAGCTGGGATGTGGAGCTGAGTATATGTAATTTGTAAGCACTTAGAGAAGTCTGTTTACCAACACTTAATGTATATACATAATTTTGGTGTAAAACCTATAGCGGTGATAAGATATAGTTGCCATTTTTATGACTCTCTTTTTGTTGATTTGTTTTTAACAGGAATTTTCATGATGAATTATACAGAGTCCAGCCCATTGGCAGAATCGGCTGCAACAGGTTTTATACCCGAGTTGGAAAGTATCATACCTGTGCCTTCCAATACAACCACTTGTGAAAACTGGAGAGAGATACATCATCTAGTTTTTCATGTAGCAAATGTTTGCTTTGCAATTGGGTTGCTTATTCCAACCACTCTCCACCTGCATATGATACTTCTTAGGGGAATGATGACTATGGGTAAGAGACCTGATGAAGATTTTCATAACTCTTCTGGAACGGGCGGCAGATGGGCTTTGTACTGGGGCTTCAGAGTATGCCTGGTCAGGTCCATAGCTACCAAAACAGATGTCACTGTTGCTCAGTTAGTCTGCCCAGTGACTTAGAACACAGGCCTTCACGTGCCGTATTGCTTGCTTACTTACTTTGGATAAAACTATGATTTTCATATATTGCTCAGATTTTCTGTATATCAGAAAATCCATTCAGATGCAAGAGTGAGAACTTTAGAGCCAGACTATGATTCAAATCCTGATTCCACTCCTTACCTTATTGTGTAATTTGGGCAAGGGATTTAAGGTTCTATCTCCATGTGTCAGATAATATAATATAACCTCTTAGAGTTGTTGTGATAATTAAATGAGTTGTGTGTATGTGTGTGGCATGCACATGAGAGAGAGAGAGAGAGAGAGAGAGAGAGAGGCAGGGAGGGAGAGAAAGAGAGGGAGAGAGAGAGAGAGAGAGAATTTGCCTTAGAATAGTGTCTGGAATGCAGTAAGTACTATGGTCTTAACTAATAATTTGAAAGGACACATACTTGTTGTGGCCAATAAGGCAAAATGGAAAATAAAAATAATTACCAGATACAATAGTTAAGGGATAATACTATTTTTGGCTTCAGTTAACCTTAATGAAGCAAGTTAAATTGATTTACATCAAAATATTGAAACAATTGAATCTCTGTTATGGCCAGTGATTCTTGCTGAATTATTCTCTATGTGATTATTTCCCTGTTTGTCCACTTACTCAGGTGCAGTTTTGCACACCTGTAATGTGTCAGACTCAGATTGAAGAAGGTGGTCTCCTTCTTGACTCCTGTGGGAGCTGGGAGAGCGCAGAGCAGAGCCAGGACCAATATGGGCTGTGGCCATCTGAAAGAGTGACTTAACCACTAACTGCAATGTCTGCCCAGTCATGAATTTTAGAACAGAGTTTTAGAGGAGTACTATACAAAAGCGATCACCTGGTCTAACACTCTGTGCCATAAATGCAGAAAGTAGAGGCCTAAACAAGTAGAATAAGCTACTCAAAATTAACATAAGGACAGAATGGCCCAACCAGGGCTATAATTCAGGTTCTCCCCTGTCTCTCGGTCCTTCTATTATCCTGACTCCTTTAGGTTATAATATTTTAAATCACTCCAACATTTGCTGTGAAATATTATTTAAAAACACTTTAATTTTTATCATTTTGGACTTTATTCAGATACTTTAAATCATTCTGATGAAACAAAAAATTGCAGATGAGTGGTGATGCTCAAGTGATTGAGTTCCTACCACCCATATGGGAGAGGTGGGCTGAGTTTCCAGCTCTCAGTTTCAGCCTGGCCCAGAACTGGCCATTATGAGCATTTGGTGTAGTGAGCCAGTGGATGGAAGCTCTCTGTCTTCTCTCTCTCTGCCTCTCAAATAAATAATAAAATTTAAAATTTGCAAATGAATAACTTTTTATATAGGAGGTTGATTTTTTGTACATATGTATGTATGTTGATGTATTTGTACCTTAGTGATAATTTTATTTTAAATTAAAAATATGTTAATTCTCACACCATCAAATTGACACAAAAACAACTAGAGATTTTTTTATAAGGTAAGAGAATTGGTAAGGAGAAACAGGATGATTCCCATAGGTAAATGAAAAATCATCAAGTGAAAATGTAGATAGCTAAAAAAATTTTGATAAAATATTTAGGCCCACCAACAATGCTGGAAATGCAGAATAAAATACAGAATTCCTCACTATCAAATGAAATTTTTTCTGTTTTACGATGTTGACAACTTGATACTAGCATTCTCAGTTAATAGGACTGCAAATTTGCACAGATTTTTTGGAAAACAATTCTTTAGTGTCATTAAAAGCTGTAAAGTTCATTCTTTGATTCACTTGCAGTAATCCAGTGCAAATAAACAAAAACAGAAAGATTTTTTATATACAAGATTTTTTGGCTAATTAGCAAAAATTGTAACCAAAAAACTCATCTGTCCAGCACTAGGGAGATGGTTAAATAAACTACAGTTTGATCACTTACAGTAATTAAAAACTATCTTTACAGAGAGTTTTAATAAAATGGGAAAACCATTGCAATAAATAAAAAAGTTGGGCTTTTGATTATAGATACAAAATCTTTTGCCATCAAGTAAACCTTGTATGAAAACTGTAAAAGAGCATTAAATAACAATAGTGATTTTCTTTCAGTGGTAGAATTAATGGATTTTTCCCCCTTTGAAAATTATTTTCTATACTTTACAAATTTCCTGCTACCATGCATGTGTTTTTCTAATACTCAGACAAAAAAAAACTCAATTTGATATGAGTTATTGCTAAAATGTGATTAGAATACTACAGATAAAGAATGTACGAAGCTCCATGCTGAAGCTCTTCCAGACATCTAACACATTAACTCTGTCATTCAACAGGTTGTGCCCTTTATATCGTGTGGGCCACACTCTACCGCTGTGCCTTGGATATAATGATCTGGAACTCGGTATTTTTGGGTGTGAACGTTTTACATCTTTCATATCTTTTGTACAAGAAGAGACCGGTAACTATTCCAATGAATAAATAAGTGATTTTAAAGTTGGAAGTTTTTTAAAATTACTTTGTCCAGACTCAAGAATGAATGTCTAACACCTTTAGTCCCTTTAACACTTACTCCTGCATGCCCTTGTTCCTATCAGCCATGACTGGCACACACTAGGGGCTCACAGAAACATTTGATGAATGAATGTTTTCCAAAGAGAAGAATCGAGAGGGCTTCGTGAGAAATTGGGCTTGAGCTGAGAGTTGCGGAGTGAGCAGATTATTTATATGTGCCAGTGGGTCGTCAGATCATTTGTTCATGACTGTGCCACGATGGCTGGTACACCGGCTAGAAGCAGGAAGTGTTTGTGAAGGAATGGCTCTATACACTTGTTAGCAGAGCTCTGGCGTGGGGGACATAGGTGAGAGGAATGATGAGGATCACAGTTCCTGAATATCGGAACTTGCTGGAACCCTAAAATACAAGGTTCAGAAGTTACTGATGTGATCGTACTATGACATTAGAGAAAGCATTTAGGGTCTGTGCTTTTCCTGGGACCATCAACCTGCTTTGGGAAAGTATAAATGATATCTCCATCAGAATGAAACAACAGGACAAGCAGGAGCATCACAAACACTAGAGTGACGTCAGGTTGGAGCAGCTCTTATGATCCAGGACCACAAGCTTATGCAGGCATCTGCCGGGGATTTCACTGGGACAGAGTTTGTTCACAGTGCAGTGTAGGTTTCCATCTACCCAGTTAGTGTAGCTTCCAGAAATGACTGCTGGGCCTGGAGCCTCCGGGGTGTGATCTGGGCCTTGGAGAATCTGACAACAGAGACGATGAAGCTATTTTGCTTTTTTTTTCTTCCACTAGCCAGTCTTATTTACCAGTGGCTTCTCCATGCCTCAGAGTTTATTTCAGCTTAGCATGAAACTGCTACACTGAGACGCTTTCACACCCTCTTCCGTTCTTCCACTTTGCTTGAGAACACATAAGTAAGAAGTAGTGATCACAGCTGTGGATGTGTGTCTTCTTATATTGGTACATTAGAATTACATGAAGATAAAATGCTTTACATACTGATTTTTTTTTTGTAGATTTTATTCCACATTGAGTCCTATGTTGTTTGTGTGAGTTTTTTCCATAATATTTAATGTAATTTCTTTCTGTGGAACAAAAGGTTTTATGTCACTTATAGAAGGTGCTAAGATTGGGAGGGTGAATGCTGTGACAACATTCAAAACCTTGACAGTTGCTTTATAGCCCATAGGAAGAGATGTGATCAGTAGTGCACATCTTCCCCTTATGCTCTCAAGAATTCAGTTTAACTACAAAGGTGCCCTTTTAGCATCTAAAATATAAACTTAGATCACCACTTACTCTTGCTGGAAGATTCCATTAACCTAACCACAGGAGGGCGATGATACATATCACAGGTTTATGTTTGTTCTCAAAACTGTATTTATCCACGGGAGGCAAGGTTTGGAGGCTGCTGCATGAAGTCATTGCTGCCTTTCAGGTAAAGATCGAAAAGGAGCTCAGTGGCATCTACCGGCGATTGTTTGAACCACTGCGGGTGCCTCCAGACTTGTTCAGAAGGTTGACCGGACAGTTTTGCATGATCCAGACCCTGAAAAAGGGCCAAACTTATGCTGCAGAGGATAAAACCTCAGTTGATGACCGTCTGAGTATTCTCCTGAAGGGAAAGTAAGTACTCTGTGGAAACAGAAAGGCCTAGTTTGCCTTGAATTGTGTTGTGGCCTCGGGGAAAGAACCAATGGAAGGAAATGTTGCCAACCCATGGAAGAAGCAGTCACAGATTGTGGTGGTGGTGAAGTTTCACTTTACAACTTTTCTGTAGAGTGCAATAGAACAACCTGCTACATAGAAGCATTCACTGCTCTGAATCCTGTTGATACCATAATTTTCCATTGTAAATACTTTGACTAATTTTGATCTTTTATTTAAAGTTAATGAGAAAAATTTGAAGTAGGTTTAAATCAGACATTCAAGCCCATGCTTATGCATGCTTCAGAGGCAATTTGTTTATTTTTTGAGTATCAAAAATATAATTTCTAGGAATATCAGACCTCTAGGGAGAGAGCCAGTGTATGTAGTGCTAGCAAAGCTATTAATAGCTCCCCCTTCTTTCTCAAAAGTCTCTCAGTTTGAATAGCAGATTGCGTGGTTGTTCCGTTTGTAAGAGAGATGACAGCCATCAGAAGTCTCATGTCTGGTTCAGTACTGAATGCTGGGTTTTCTTGTTCTTACATTATTTTTTTAATTAAATGCTTGTGCCTCAGGAAGTACTTTTAATTATGCCCATCCTCTGTGGAATTTTTGAAACTTCAGTACTGTAGAAAGTATAGTCCTGTCAGATTACAATGATGTTGAGGAATTGTAACATGTGATGTGTTTACTAACATTGATTTTTGTTGTCAGAATGAAGGTCTCCTATCGAGGACATTTTCTGCATAACATTTACCCCTGTGCCTTTATAGATTCTCCAGAATTTAGATCAACTCAGATGCACAAAGGTGAAAAATTCCAGGTATGTTTTTAAGAAGATTGAAACTAGTTTATGTCTCATTCAAAATTCAAAAGATATTAATAGTAAAGTAACCATGATTGACTGGAAAAACAGGCTACCATATGGCATGTATGCATGACCTCATTTTTTAAAAAAACTTAAAATAGTGTGTAGTACACAAAAAGAGGTCTAGAAAGGTATATATATTTTAATTTGGCCATAATTATAATTCTCTTATTTCTGGGTTGTGACTTCAATTGCTTTTTTATTTTCATTTTGCTTATTTGAATTTTTATAATTTTGCCATAGAAAACACAATTTTTTTTCTTATGGGAGACAAGGAAAATGTCAGTGTTCCTAAAAACATGTAATTGATTTTGCCCTAGAAAATTTATTTTGTTAATCCTTATGAAAAAAATCAAATCACCTTATTGCTTTATACTTAATGAATCTGTTTAAAGGAAAAAATTAAATTCTTTTTTTAAAAGATTTTATTTATTTTAGTTGAGAGGCGGAGTTACAGACAGTGAAAGGGAAAGACAGAGAGAAAGGTCTTCCTTCCATTGGTTCACTTCCCAAATGGCTGTAATGGCTGGAGCTGCGCCAATCTGAAGCTAAGAGCCAGGAGCTTTCTCCGGGTCTCCCATGTGGGTACAGGGGCCCAAGGACTTGGGCCATCCTCTACTGCCCTCCCATGCCATAGCAGAGAGCTGGATTGGAAGATGGGCAGCCAGGACTAGAACCGGCACCCATATGAGCTACCAGCGCCAAAGGCAGAGGATTAACCTGCACCGTGGTGCCAGTCCCAGATTAAATTCTTCATTAGTTTAAGCATGGACTGCTCAGTGTGATTCTTTTTGTATTAAAAAAAAAAAAAAAGTTGTCTATTACTTGGTACTTTGTCCTGTTTCTTCCCAGCCCTATCCTCCTGTTTTATTCACCTGGTGTGTTAGTAGGAAGGTAACCAAGAAGATGAGTGAGGGCTTCCTGGAGTCCCAGCCTCTGGATAAACAACATTGCAGAAATATCCTGAGGACAGGATTGCTTATAAGCGAGCGGGCAAATGTGTTTAGGTAGGAAATGGGCTTGAAGGCATGTTCCCACCTGCGGGGTGAGCAATGTCAGTGTATCTTGATGGCAGAATCTTATTTTAGAGTGTCATTTTGAGATGCAATACAATTTGGGATGCCATTGAGTAGAGATAAAGTAGAAAATTATTTATAGGCATACAATTCAGTTTATCTTGTTTTCGATGGTTTTAGCCATACCCTGCTCCTACTCTGCCAGAGTAAAACTTGTTAAAGTTCTGTGTGTTGACTAGGAGGTCTCACTAAGTTCACTGACAATGGGCAGCACTCTTCCCAAGCTGGCCGGGTTGAAGAAACAGAAGGAGAAGGCTAATGTCCTGGCTCTTCCAGTTCACACTCTTCACTTTGCTATTGTGAGGGTCAGCTGCACCCTGGGATTTGTGCTCTGAATTGTATTTTGTGTCACCACCATCTACAAACTAGTGCAAGGCCACTTCTTTCTTGTCTCCTTCTTTCCTTGGACCTCCTGACAGTTTCTTCTTCCAAATCCTAGCATTTATCTCTTGTATCTGTTTCTCTGTATTAGGTAGCAGGTGGTTTTTTATATGGTAACTCAGTCTCATCTTATCCTGAAAAGCCCAGGATTTGGGGATAGGGTGAAAACTCAACCTTGTTTGTTTCCTGAAGCAAGTTATCCTTGGGAAGCGGAGCTCCTAACGAGTACCACATTTTCCACTGGACTTCAAAGTAGATTTATAATTAAGTGAATAAAAAAGGAATTTCTACCACTAGCTACAGCACTGTTTTTTCTTGGGGACTGGAGGTTGGATTTCATAAATTGGATTTCAGTAGATAGGAATTATTGCTGATAAACTACGAATGAAGGTTCCAGAACCCATGACCCGTGTTGGGACCCCATAGCTGGATGGATCAGCCTTTCCCAAAGATTCTCAAGAACCTGGTGTGGCATTTCAGGACTGGTCAGTGGATAAAAACTACCCTCACATCATCAAGCCTGTGTCTTGTGCCATGGGAGCCAAGTCCATCTGAAAAAAACTCTTGGGAAAAATTTTGCTTTCATTGTTTATATAATGTTCCTCTTGGCAGGATATGCCAGAGTGAAAAATAGCTGTTGCACATCTGTGTAGGAGCAGTACACCCATTGCCTCTTAGAGAACCAAGTTCCAGATGAAAATGCCGCATGCTTCCAGGGCCAGCTTGTCACTACGTAAGCCAGACGGCAGGAGTCAGACTTCACCCCACACGTGCTTTTCACCTGCTAATCGCTTCTTCTCCAACTCTGACCTGCTGCAGGTGTTCTCATAAGGAGGCACTTCCTGTGAATTTGTATTTCTTTAAATTCATTCTGTGGTTGGGGTGCTAATAAATTGTACAGTAGGAGGGAAAGAAAGGCAAGAGGACTCAGTGCCCATCCCTTTAGATTGCACAATGACAGAGTATTGCGCAGGTCAATGTGTAGTAATTACAGTGAAAACAGGCAGAGTGCTACTGCTGAGAAAAGTCTGAATTTACAGTTCATTTTCCCTCGGTGCACACAGTCATTTGGGTACTTAGATAGCTCCTGCTTTTAACTATTGATAGAAGCTTGAAAATCATTTTTACAAAAAGTAAGAATAGTGTTTTGTGTCCCATTTCTTCTTCTTTGTGCAATTTTATATCAAGTGAGCTTTAGACATTTTTCTTTTGCATTCTGTCACATGCTCTTAGCCTTGTCCTGGTGCGACAGAGCCCAAAGATGAAAGCTTTATTGACTTCAGGGGAAGAGGAAGATCTTAGAGACATATGTCCATGTTCTTGTGAAATAACTGAACATTAAGTTTTAGCTGATATTTAAAGTTAGCATCCCCTCTCTCCCTCTCTAACTCTGCCTTTCAAGTAATAAAATACATCTTTAAAAAAATTAAAATAAAAAAGGGGCACTTGCAATGCCAGCATCCCATGTGAGCATTGGTTCAAGTGCCATATGTTCCACTTTTGATCCAGCTCCCTGCTAATGTGCCTGGGAAAGCAATGGAAGATGGTCCAAGTGTTTGGGCCCCAGCACCCATGTGGGAGTCCTGAATGAAGCTCCTGGCTTTGGGCTAGACCAGCCTGGCTGTTGTGGCCACTTGGAGAGTGCAGCAGTGAATGAAAAATTCCCTCTCTCTCCTTCCCTGTCCCTCTCTCCCTCTTTCTTCCTCTGTAACTCCACCCTTCAAGTAAATAAAAGCAAACCTTTAAAGTTGACGTTATCTTAATATGAAGTAATATTTTGGTGAAGCTCTGAAGTCAGTTAAGCAGCCCGTTTGACTGCCCTGTATTTTTGTGCTTGTGAGAACTCAATAAGCGTTAGTGGAACAGACCACTCCCAGGACATTTTCATGTTGCTGGTGTCCGGGATGCTGTAGGATGCGTGGCAGAAATAATGAGTTCTCCCTACAGGACAGTCTGCCAGTCCTCTTTGTCAGACTGCGGTTTCTGATTCTGGCACACCCAGCAGTTCCCTCGAGTCCCCTTGTCCCCCTGTGTTGGAGCCCATCATTTTCTCTCCTTGGCAGGGTGTAGAACACCTGGGTCCAAAGTGAGGGACTGCTCCACTGTCTTTAGGTGATCAGGACAAACCTGGCTGCCAATGCTTAGTGTAATTCTTTACCTGAAAGATGCCCTTTCTTTGTCTTCCTTTGCTATCTTTGCTTTTGTCGCTTCAGTAAAATTCCTCACAAGAGTTCAAGGATGGCACTGCTGAAGTTTCCAGATAACGTAAGAAATGAATTTAGTCTACCCAAGCTTTAAAAGTTCTTATATCGCATTATTAAAATACATTCCACTCGTCTAGAAGTCATTAACTTGAGCTGTACAGCAGAAACGAAGCATGAGCTATCAAGCAAAATGACCTTGGTCAAAGTGCTGACTACTGGCTTCCCACTCAAGGCCTGCTCTTAAGGACCTGTGAAGTACTGTGTGTACTGTAGGTGTAGCTTGTATTTGAAGGCTGTAATTACATTTATAGTTGGTAATCATATAAACAGGTTTAACGTCATTTTCAACTGTCAATTAAAAATGCCGTTGCTAAGCACATTATAGTCTCACAATAGAATTATCATTGCCTCAGTGGAAACTTGAGGTATTGCAAATAGTTGAAGGCTTGATGCTTTACATATCACCTAAGTAAAATGACTTTTTCTCCAAGACAATTTTCAACTCCTCTTCTAACACCTTTTCCCACTGTGTGTTAATTGTGTTTTCTAAAGTCAAGGATGACATCTTTGCACAGTGAAGAGACCTCAGTTTAGCACTTGAGAACACAGTTGGGCCACCATAGGTACCCATTTCTCACCTTTCTGTTACCACTCTGTCATTTCCTGTTGACTTAGCTGCGCCCTCCTGTTTCTTGGAATTCCCCAGGGCTGATTTGACTTTATATTCCTCTTCCTACAAATCTCGCCTGCTTTTTTTTTTTTTTTTTTTTTTTTTTGACAGGCAGAGTGGACAGTGAGAGAGAGAGACAGAGAGAAAGGTCTTCCCTTGCCGTTGGTTCACCCTCCAATGGCCGCCGCGGCCGGCGCGCTGCGGCCGGCGCACCGCACCGATCCGATGGCAGGAGCCAGGAGCCAGGTGCTTTTCCTGGTCTCCCATGGGGTGCAGGGCCCAAGCACCTGGGCCATCCTCCACTGCACTCCCGGGCCACAGCAGAGGGCTGGCCTGGAAGAGGGGCAACCGGGACAGAATCCGGCGCCCCGACCGGGACTAGAACCCGGTGTGCCGGCGCCGCTAGGCGGAGGATTAGCCTAGTGAGCCGCGGCGCCGGCCCGCCTGCTTTTTTCTTTTTCTTCTTCCTCTTCCTCCTTCTCAAGTATTGTTAAGTGGGAAAGCGAGAGGGCACTGTAACTTGGAGGGTCCTCCTCCTCCTCTCCTTCCTCATCCATTTTAAAACAATTATTTTTCACTTTCTCTACTGCAGAACGTAGACTTCAAGACCTGGTATTCCGCTCTTCTCTGTAAGAGCGCGTCCCGATGTGCTATGCAGCACACCTTGTTGCCACTTGGACAAAGAATTCTGGGTGGTTGTCTTGAGGAATTTTGGACACATTGGGTAGAATTTGGCCTGGTGGGAAAATCTGTCTGCGCTAGAAGTGGAAAGAGATCACTCTGCCATTCATTAACATGTGTTTGTCAATAAGTTTTATGGTGCTTCTCATTTTGTCTGAAAAATGGGGAAGTATCTAAAATGCACTTTTGGGGGCCGGTATTGTAGAGTGGGTAAAGCCAGCATTCCATATGGGCGCTGATACATGTTCCAGCTGCTCCACTTCAGATTCAGCTCACTGCTAATGGTCTTGGAAAAGCAGTGGAAAGTGGTCCCAGTGCTTGGTCCCTTGCTGCCCACATGGGAGACCTGGATGAAGCTCCTTAACTTCGGCGTGGCTTGGCTCAGCTCTGGCCATTGCAGCCTTCTAGGGAGTGAAGATCTTTGTGTTTCCTTCTCTCTGTGTAACTCTGACTTTCAAATAAATAAATAATTTTTTGAAAAAATTTATTTATTTATTTGAAAGTCAGTGTTACACAGAGAGAGGAGAAGCAGAGAGAGAGAGAGAGAGGGGTCTTCTAACCATTGGTTCACTCCCCAACTGGCTACACCGGCCGGAGCTGTGCCAATCCAAAGCCAGAAGCCAGGAGCTTCTTCCGGGTCTCCCACGTGGGTGCAGGGGCCCAAGGATTTGGGCCGTCTTCTACTGCTTTCCCAGGCCACAGCAGAAAGCTGGATCGGAAGTGGAGCAGACAGGTCTCAAACTGGCGCCCATATGGGATGCCAGCACTACAGGCCAGGGCGTTAACCTGCTGCGCCACAGCACCGGCCCCAATAAATAATCTTTAAAACACACTTTGGAAGTGTGTTTTACTTGATGGATGTAAAATCACCTCTTAATTGTTAATATAATATATACACAGTTAGAGGCATGATGTGCAATTGTCATATCCTAGTTATTTTCCCACTTCCTCTCTTGTGTTTTCCAAAATGCTGCCATCTGAGTTGTCATATTTCATTTCTGTCTTTATTCTCAGCCCCTCTGGTAGAATGCAAGCTTCACGGGGCAGATGTCTTACCCGTCTTGTTCACCATTGAAACCGCAATGCTTTGAGTAGTTTCTGGCATAAAGTGCGTGCATGACAATGTGTATTGAAAGAATGAAATTTCATGTTTTATGGAGTCTTTGAACTGCTGATGCATTTATTAGTTTTATGGATTCCTACTTGTAATGTCAAAAATAAATGCAAACTTTCTTTTTTCTGGGAACACTGATCTATTTTTAAAATAGCCAAAGCCTCTGATTTGCTTTGATTCAGCCTGTTGTTGCTGGATTTTTCATTTTCTCTCTAGATATACCCTTTCTCCTCTGATACGTGATTAATTTTGTGAGTAACAAAGGGAAACTAGCTCCTTTGGAAACATTTGCTCCTAGGCCCAGATAGGACTTTGTGTTGAGTTAGCAAACCTTTATTAATCTCTCATGATGATGGGCATCAGGTTTAATGTTGCATATATAAAAGTCGCTTTTGCCTTCAGCACTATTTGTGTTCGTTTGTTAGTTCCTTCATACAATAAACAAACATGGAGCACCACTGTGTGCCAGACTCTAGGCATTCAAGCAGGAGACATGCAGTCCCGGCCATCAGAGGGCTCAGGAGACATGGATTGTCAACAGATAAGCATGGATGTGGTGATATGAGTGCTACAATGAAGGGAGGAGGAGGAGGGGGAGAACTTGAAGAAGCCCTGCATGGGAAGGATGGCTCTAGACACTGAGCGGTGAGGGCATGGCCCTGCCCCTGGAGCAGGGGTTGATGTGAGAAATCCTTGAGCTGTGCACAGTTACAGTGCCCTCTTGCTCTCCCACTTAACAATACTTAAGGAAAAGAAATGCCTTCCCAGTCCTGAGCTAACCGGGGGGGAAGGGGGGGTGTCCTGTGTGTATCCCCAGCAGGTTACCATTGAAAGGTCACACTAGAGAAACACAGGACAGAAGCCCCTCACCAACCATGTGCGTTGGGTCTGGGCCCTGGAGCTGTCAGCCTCCAGTGCTTACTTGCAGTGCTGGCTGGGCAGAGGTGTTGCATCCACAGTCTGCCTGGCAATTCTGACCTCAGTTCGTTTGCTTGAAGCTGTGTTCTTAAGCTTCCCATGATAATCAAGAGGGTAGCAGGGATGGAAACATCCTGCCTGTGAGCCACGTGAGGCCTACAAAATCATTTTGGCTCTGCCAAGGCAACTGCAGCTGGGACTTGAAATTCAATAAACCTGGAGGCCAATGGTTTGGCTTAGCGGGTAAAGCCGCCGCCTTTGATACTGGCATTCCATGTGAGTGGCTAGTGGTTCTGCTCCATTCTGATCCAGCTCCCTGCTAATGGCCTGGGACAGCAGCAGAAGACAGCCCAAGTGCTTGGTTCTCTGCCGCCAACATGGGAGACCCAGATGAAGCTCCTGGCTCCTGGCTTCAGCCTGGCCCAGTGTTGGCCATTGTAGCCATCTGGGAAATGAAACAGCCGATAAAAGATATCTTTCTCTCTGTCTCCTTCTCTCTGTAACTCTGACTTTCAAAATAAATAAATAAATCTTTGTTTTAAAAAAGCCATTCAATAAATCTAAAACTGGCGTTTTAAGTTAATAGTTTGGTATGGCCCCAAGAATGATGTTATAAATGTGCAAATGATTGTTGGCAGGAAAAGGTTCCCAGCCCTGATAAGGGAATCTGTAGCGGTAAACGCATCCAACTGCAGCCTCAGCCTAGCAAGCTCCCCAGTAGTGGTATTCACACAGTGGCCCTCACCAGACCTCACAAAACAAAACCCCACAAAACTCAGCAGAATTTGCTTTTGGATTTTATTTTAACTAATTGGACAAATCATGACGATGATAGTATCCACTAAATTATTCTACTCTATCCTTACTCCAAAGCACTATAACCAGAATTCATAGGAGTCTGGCCTTGTGGTGTAGCAGGCCAAGTCACCACTTGGGATGCTGGCGTCCCGTATTAGAGTGCTGGTTCAAGTCCTGGCTATTCATTTCCTACCTAGCTTCCTGCTAATACACTTGGGAAGTCAGTGGAGCATGGCCCAAGTACTTAGGTCTCTGCTACCCGTGTGGGAGACACAGATGGAGTTCTTGGGTCAGACCTGGCTGTTGTAGCCATTTAGGGAGTGTACCAAAAAATGAAAGATCTCTGTCTCTCTCTCCTCTCCCTCCCTCTCTGAAATAAATAAATAAATCTTTTTTAAAGAAACTACATTAAAAATGAAAGAGTTAATAGGAATCGTTTTTTTCTTTGTACATTTGTGTCTTTTGCAGGTCACCATTGTTGCAGATGATAACTGCAGATTTTTATGCTGGTCAAGAGAAAGATTAACCTACTTTCTAGAATCAGAACCCTTCCTGTATGAGATATTTAGGTATCTTATAGGAAAAGACATTACAAATAAGCTCTACTCGTTGAATGATCCCACCTTAAATGATAAAGTAAGTGTTTTTCTGAGGCTGTCTATTTTGTTAACTAAATATGCACAGTGAGCTATACTGTATTTTACCTGAATGAATGTCTTCCTGGATATTCACTAACTGGTCGTCTGTTAAGTGGAGTGGGGACACTGACAGTGTGGGGATCCTTCCGAGAATCCTGTTCTTGCGAGTGAGGAAGGATTTTGTGGTTACCGTATTTGCCGTATTTAGTGAGGGGTCTGCAAGAGTCAGGACCCAGCACTGGTGGTGATGAGGTGCTGCCTCCTTCAAGAGAGCCGTTTAAGCAATCTCAGGAAGACAGGAAGGGCGTGGGTGGGAGTGGGGCTGGAGGAGGCCAGGACAGGGCAGATCAGTGGGCAGGGTGCGGACGGACAGAGGCTGACCGACCCCAAGAAGCAGAAAAGTCCTATTTTAATCCTGGTGTCCTCCAGCCTCACACATCTTCCTGCTCAGACCCCTTCCCAGGAAGCCCATAGATGACTAAAGGAGTATGGGATTGCAAGTCCGTCTTGGTCTTCAACAACTTGGGATTTCATCTTAATTTCCCCACATTTTTCTGAAGGAAATTAAAATGATTGCAGAAGACAGCTTGGGAGACATTGTTTCTAGGATACATTGTCCTATTCTCCAGGAACAATGAGCATGGGTGTCTGTCTGTCCTCTTGTCCAGGATGTGTATCAAATTAATTTGGTGCTTATTATTTCAGATTAATAAAGAGGTTATTGAGTATATTAATTTTATATAATAATAAAGATCATAGATTAAATTTATATTGCACTTAATAGGTGCCAGGTACCCCTTTGAAAACCCTAACTTGTTTCAAGAAGAAGCATGTGCTACTCACAGGGACTGTGTGATCTCAGAAATCCTAACACTTTGCATTGTAGAAGGCCAAGAAGCTGGAGCACCAGCTCAGCCTGTGCACGCAGATCTCCATGCTGGAGATGAGGAACAGCATTGCCAGCTCCAGCGACAGTGAAGACGGCCTACACCAATTTCTTCGGGGCTCCTCCAGCGTGTCCTCGCTGCGTAAGTTACTTCTAAATGGGTAAATGCCGCAGGGCTCTGCTGGGCGGCACTGGGGTTAGACAGATGACAACTGTGATCGGAGAAGTTACGCAGCAAGTATTTGACAATCTAAAAGTGGCAATAAAAGCAAGCTTTTAATTTGGTTTTGTGCATCAATTTGTTCACTTGCTTTTGCCAAGTACTCTGCTTAAACCCCGGCTCACTGGATTAGGGTCTGCGTCGTTGGGAGGATCTTTGACGTTGTTGTTTTCATTATTTTAGTTAGAATGAAAGCCTAGACCCAGCAATGCTTAGACACAGGAAAAACCTGCTGGATGTTGACTGCTGCCTGCACATCCCAGTGTGAGCCCCAGGAGTTAAAAAGCAATGGGGTGCTAGGACTTTCCCGAAAAGGAAGGAGGTTACTCACACTACTGCAAGGTACCTCATTCACATCCCTACCAACACACAGGTTTTCCAAGATTCTTCAGATGCCTTCTGTAAAAAATTGTACTTATTTTTACTCATTTGAAAGAGCAACAGAGAGAGAAAGGAAAAGAGAAAGAGAATCTTCCATCCATTGGGTCACTTCTCAAATGTTGCGTAGCTGGCACTGAGCCAGGCCAAAGCTAGGGACTTAGCACTCCATCCTGGGCTCCCATGTAGATGGCAGGGACCCAAGTGCTTGAGTCATCGCTGCTGCTTTCCAGGGTGCACATTAGCAGACAGCTGGATCATAAACCAAGTGGGGATGCAAATGCAGGCTCTCTGATATGGGATGGGAGCATCCCAAGTGGCGCCTTGCCTACTGTGCCGAACAGCCGCCCCCAGATTGTTTCTATGCATACAAATAACACTAATGACACATATTGAAGATTAGTAAGTAAAATGAGGGAAACTAAATTGTTTTAAGAATTCTTCTAAGAAAGAGAGCATATGTACTTAGAACAGATTCATGGGAAATCGTAAAAAGGCAAATTCTTCCATTGCATAAACCAAGAACTATTCATATTTCCAGTAGTGTTTTAAACCAAATAACTTTTTTAAAATGTAAGCACACATTTAACAATCCTAAGTGTTTATGTAAATGGTCTTGGAACTTTGTATGCTTTAGATAAATCAGATTAAGGACTTTTAAGTATCACATAGTTGGGAGAGGCTGGGATTTCTGAGCCCATATGATTGGTGTGTGGAGGAGGCAAAACTTTACTGCTTCCCTTTCAGGGTTTTTTGTTTCTTGTTTTCACTGGGCCTGAGAACTTCTTTGACATAAGTCAGGTTAACAGGAGAAAAACGTACCCATTGCATTCCAGTTTTATGTGACATCAGAGTCTTCATAGGGAAATGAAGACCCCAGGAACAGAGTAAAGCACTTGTTACTCAATTGGACAAAGAACAGTAAGTTGTGAAAAAGCAACTAAGTCTTTAAAAAAAAAAAAGATTCATTTATCTATTTGAAAGGCAGAGTTACAGAGAGGCAGAGGCAGAGAGAGAGGTCTTCCATCCGCTGGTTCACTCCCTAGATGACCGCAACAGTTGGAGCGAAGCCAGGAGCCAGGAGCTTCTTCCAGGTCTCCTACACGGGTGCAGAGGCCCAAGGACTTGGGCCATCTTCTACTGCTTTCCCAGGCCACAGCAGAGAGCTAGATCGGAATTAGAGCAGCTGGGACTCGAACCAACACCCTTATGGGATGCCGGCACTGCAGGCGGCTGCTTTACCTGCTATGCCACAGTGCTGGCTCCACAACTAAGTCTTGTGGAAAGACTTTAAGCATTATTTTTATAAGCTTTGTACAAAATTCTTTCCATCTCAGATTCCTGTCCTTAGCGATAAGAATACTGTTTTCCTTCTGGTATGGGGAGGTGGGCATCTTTTACATGGGAATTTCATCTGTTTTTTATTAACAGAAGGAAGGTCAGAGTGATCTTTTTTTTTTTAAGTTTTATTTATGTATTTGAAAAGTCAAAATTACAGAGACAGAGGAGAGACAGAGAGAGAGATCTTCCATCCACTGGTTCATTCCCCAAATAGCCACAATGGCCAGGGCTGGGCTGGGCCAAAGTTAGGAGCCCGGATTTTCTTCCTAGTTTCCCACGTGGATGGAGGGGCCCAAGACCTGGGCCATCCTCCGCTGCTTTTCCAGGGGCATTAGCAGGGAGCTGGACCAGAAGTGAAGCAGCCAGGGCTCGAACTGGTGCCCATGTGGGATGCTGGCACTGCAGATGGCATCTTAACCTACTGCACCACAGCATTGGCCTGAGAGTGATCTTACACTTGCTGGTTCTTTTATTTTTTTTTTTTTTAAGACTTATGCTATTTATTTGAAAGTCAGAGTTACATAGAAAGAGGGAGAGACAGAGAGAGTTCTGTCTGCTGGTTCACTTTGTACATGACCACAACAAGCCAGGGCTGGGCTTCCCTGAAGCCAGGAGCCAAGAACTTTATCCGGGTTCCCCACAAGTACTTGGGTCATCTTCCGCTGCTTTCCCAGGGGCATTAGCAAACAGCTGGATAGGGCTCCGAGAAGCCAGGACTCAAACCAGCACTCATATGAGATTCTGGCATCACAAGTGGTGGCTTAATTCGCTGTGCCACAATACACCACAACACCAGCCCCTTTATTTCCTGTTTTTTTTTTTTTTTTTTAATACCTTTAACTCAAAATAGTCAATATGCTGTAGTGACAGGATTTTAGCTCTTTTCCATGGAAGATTTCAAAGCTTTCCAATCTAGACAGAGAAATCCATTATGGCCCTGAAAGGGATTTTATGAGCACCACAAATGAGAAATTGAAACTGGTTGTATTTTATTCCATAGTAGCTTATTGAAGGTGCTGGCTACAACTCACATGGGTCAAGTGTTGCCCTGGGCCTTGTTCTTCTCGCTCTGAGACTCAGCCAGAGGAGCAGCAGGGCTGTTGCCATGGTCATGACAGAGGGAAGGCCATGGTGGCCGATTCACATGCAGACTTTTAAAGCTCCTCCTGTGAAGTGGCACAGGCCACTTCCAGTCATGCTCACTGGGCCAGAGAAGTCACCCGGCTTGAACTGACATCATTTGGGAGGTCACTCATTTAATCCTCCAGCTGTGCAGAAAGGGCCTGGTAAGAGAAAGCAAAGGAAGCAGGCAGAGAGGAGAACAGACAATTTTAAGAGCAGTAAGGTAGTGATCTTCAGACTTAGACTGAGTAAATTAATATGCCAATATTTTTAATTTAATATGAAGAATTCAGGGGAGCAGTGAATTTAGAACAAAACAATGTCCAAGTAACATGTTGAACTGAGTAACAATGGGCTGAGAGGTAAGAACCTACACTAATAATTGTTATTGGGAGTAACAGGAAGGATTAATAATTTTAAAAGGACAGACAGTGAGCCTGACATAGCCACATGAAGGGGGAAATGGGAATGGGAGATGTGCAGAAGTTGGTGCATGAGGCAGGATTGCAGAGCAGGAAGGACGGCATTGATGTTATCCACCACAGTGGGCTTCATTCCATTTGATAGATTGGGAAATTGAAAATATGATAGATGCTCATTCACTCGTTTCCGGGCCACAGGGGTTGGTGCTGGGATCCAAATGTAGGGATCCTGTCTAATTGCAAAGCTAACACTTTGATTGGCTCTGCATTATAAAAAGAAAGGAAAAAATGCAAGTGATATTTGGTTGGTGCTTTGTAATTTACAGGTCCTTTTTATACCCAGTATTACACTTGAACTTGACATCTCTGTACAGTGGTCACAACAGCTGTTAGCCTTTGTCCCATTGCAAATGAATCACTAAGAAGGCAGGAGGCACAGGAGGAGGGAGAGGGAGAGAAAAAGGGAGATGGAGAGGGAGAAATCTTCCATCAGTTGGTTGACTTCCCAAATGCCACAACAGCCAGGGCTGGGCCAGGCTGAAGCCAGGAGCCAGGAACTCACCCCAGGTCTCCCATGTGGGTAGCAAGAGCCCAAGTACTTCAGCTATCACCTGCTGCTTCCCAGGGTGCACATTGGTAGAAAGCTGGAATCGGAAGCTGATCCAGGACCCAAACCCAGGCACTCTGATGTAGGATGCAGTCATCACAAGTGGTATCTGAGCCACTTCACCAAGTGCCTGCCCCTACATAGGAATCTTTAAAATTATCCAGTATCCCCCAAAGTCATTTAACTTTTGGTTAACTTTCACTCTGGTGTGCACTTAGTGAATTAAAAGCAATCCAACTCTTTAAAAATTAACATCATATATTTTCCTAGTTAACCATTTTTCACATTATTTCACCTATTCATTAACTCACATACACAAGTCAGCTTAAGCATATATATACATGTCAATATTGCCCATTATTTTTCAATTCAGTTCTGAGTAGCACATGCACATTGTGTTGGGTTGACATGTTTCAAGTCTCTTTCACTTTTGAGCTTCCCTTCCATCTCTCCCTCTGTCTGTTTATATTTCTGTATTTTGTGTAGTTTTGTGCTTTTAGTTGTCCTCTGTCCTGTACAACATTGGTTCTTGAATGTGCATGTGAATCTCTTGGCGCTCTTTTTAAAGGTCCTGGTCTGGAGTGGGACCTGGGAGCCCAGGGGTTTAATAGGTTCCCAGATGATGCCAATGTGGCTGGTGGGTGAGCTACACTTTGAGTAGGGAGACTGTGGAATTCCCTGCGTTCTGTGCTTGTGCTGATGGTTCCTGTCCTGCTGATTATGGTGTGTGGGATAGAATGCTACAAACACAGGAGGGGAATTCAAAACGTTTGTGGAAAATGGAATTAAAAGATATATTTATTTTGGTGCAAAAAATTTTCATGCCATGTGTTTTCCAGAAACTTTTTTTGAACTCCTCTCATATTTCATAACTTTATACAGCAAGTGTTCAGTTAAAAATGCAGTTCACAAGAAGGTGAAGGGGAACTCTACGTGAACTGTTTCAGTGAACTCTCTGCCACTCCCCTTTCTCACATTGAGCTCTATTTTTACCCATGTCACACGATCCCCTCTCCACAACAAGATCTCTACTCTTCATCACACAGATGCCA